TCCATCATTTCGTATTCGCTTTGATTTTTTCAAATTTAATTTTTCTTATTTTCCTTCTTTCTTTCTTCCGGTTTTTTGTCTTTATTGTTTGGGTTTTAAAAAAATTTGAAAAAATTTTTTTCCCCTTCTCCCGAGGGGGGGGGTTTTCTCTATATTTACAAAACCGCTCTCAGCCCCAAAAGAGCGTACAGTCTTGAGGCCGGGAGGGGTTCCTCCCGGCCACGAGGAGACCGGGGTCTGTGTACCACCTCATTGGGAGGGGTTCCTCCCAGCGAGCTGGGGAATGTATGATGTAGTGAAGCCTGGAAAGTTGGATGGTTGCATAGACTCGATGAGGTTGCGGCCTTGAGACTGTAAAGTCTGAAGGCGATTGACCGGAAGGCCTTCTTCCGGTCGACCATGCTTGGGGCATCTATGATATCCACCTTTTATAGGTGTTTTTAGATTGCAAGAATAGTATACTCACAAGAACAAGCAATCAGTGTTGGGCTGCTCATTGGCGCGGCGTTGACAATCGTCATCCCCAAGGGAATACACCATCTATTCTTCTTCCGAGGCCTCTCCCTTCGGCCTTCGCGCTAACCAAAACAACACCTCTCCTCAGCCTATCATCTCACATGAGCCTCAACTTCGTCATCATCATTCTACCGTCGGCTTGGCTCTCATTGGCGTATTCATGCTCATGTAAACACCTCAACAAGAGGGACTCAACCAGTCGGGCAATGGATCCCCAGAGATGAGGGGAAACCATCGGCCGAAGAACATCAAGCTTCAAATTTAATCCCCTTCATTCTACGCTGATAGGTCTTTTGATGCAATCAGTAGCCAACAGGATAGCCCTAGGTGCCTCGTCGAACCACACAACTCATCAAGAGCCAGGCAGACAACTGTTGTTATCACAGAAAATTTTCCTTGCGATCATGGTTCACAAAGCGCCGGCGGCCTTTGGGATGGTAGCGTTCTTATTAGCCGAAGGCCTTTCGACAGGGGCGGTGCAACAGATCTTGTTGGTGATCAGTCTGGCCGCCCTGATGAGCGCGTTGACCACTTAGACCGGCCTTGGTTTCCGATCCAAGTGGGTGAGGTGGTCGGAGTAGGAGTAGCAGGAGAAGAGGAGGATCAAGCAGGTGGAGTGGGTGGGTCGGTGAGGGTGATGAAACCTGAAGTTCTTTGGCGAGGGATGATGGTGGCACCGGGCCTCATTTTATAGCCACCCCAACGTTGTCAACCCCTCCTCTACCCTGCCCGAGATCCTCAATTGAACCAGCTCATTGATGTAATCTTGTCTTGTCAAGCACAACATGTGCGAGCGCTTGTTCTCGGGCTCGATGCCGTCGTCAGGGTTCTCCACTCTAGGAACATTTTGACTGGAAGGACATTCCTTCTGCCGGTTGACCTTGAGACAACTTGACAGTCTGAATACCAGGAGGGGTTCCTCCTGGCCTCAAGGCTGGGAGGGGTTCCTCCCCCAGCCCCAAGTTTTTTTTTTCAATGGCCTCAAACCCCTGGGCTATCCCATAGGACGCAGGCCTGGGTCCTATGGGATAGCTCAGGCGCTTAATGCATACGTATGCGCACTCCCACACTCCCCTATCTGAAGTGAGTGTGGGCCCACACTCCAAAGCAGATTGGAGTGTGTGAGCACACACCAATCTGCAGGGAGCCTACCCTGCTGCAGATTGGTGTGCAATCCCACACTCTAATCTGCTTTGGAGTGTGGGCCCACACTCCCTTCTCTGAAGGGAGTGTGGGAGTGTGTGTGCAAAGGGGGAGGGAGTGTGATTATCACTCCCCGACAAGCAATTCCATATTTATTTCTTTCTGCATCACAAGCAAGCCGTGCAGTCGGCTCCTCAGCATGTGATTGAGCCACCACCAAAGGGTTTCAAAACCTGCGGGTTTTTCTGTAGGATCATCCGACCTGGTCTGCACAATGTCCGGGTCGGATCCACAGCCGTGCATAAAATACCAATCTGTTGACCGGTCCATTTTGGCTTGGGGGGACTATCCAACATTGATTGTCTGTGAACCGCACCATGTGAATTGCCAAAGGCTCTCGGATGGTGGTACAGGAACTTGCAGCGTGCGGATAGGGTTGGAATCTGGTCGAATCCTATGAACCGCAATCCAGGCCTGCAGGCATGAAAGCGCTTGGTTGATTTTCCGGCTCAGGCCACTTTCGGGGTATTTTACCAGGTGTGCGGCACTGTTTTGCACAAAAAATGGCCGCTGTAACTTTGGAAGGGTGAAGGGGTCTCAGGTTCGACCGCTATTTGACCCTTGGTTTCTGGGGGGGTCAAAATGGATAAATTGACCGCGAACTTGGTAGAAATTTGGTGTCGAACATGGGCGCCTGTGTAGTCTTGTTATAAGAACAAGGCAAATTTGGAAAACCTTGAGGAAGAACCATTGAGGCTTTGCAGAGATATATGTGCTTCTTAATTTCTGTTGAGATCTGATCTCTATCCCACTAGACTCTAGTAGTCCGATTACTTAATCAGTCCATTCCGGAATGACATCATCTAAATATCACAGCCTGTCTTTATTTAAGGTTCTCTCTCTTCTCTCGAAACCTTCCTTTCCTCCTCATGACTCCAGAAAACTATTTGTCTACTCTAAAATCTTCAGACTAAATTCTTCCTTACAAACTGGGCTCATCGCTGTCGTTCTCATTTCTTCATATCAAACGACTTCTAACATCTTATTACATTATCAATCTTCCTTGTTATTTCCTTCTTCCTTCCCTACGATCTCGACTCTTCTCAACTCCTCTCGACTTCAGTCAAAATCTTTCCTTTGCGAACTCAAAAGTTCTCCCTTCTATTCGACTCTCCGCCGACTTAACAACTCTTGTCAATTGACCTGTCCTGTTTTCGTAGGTCTTAAATCTTTTCTTATTACAATCTCATTTGGATTGCGATCCCACCTGACATTCTTCAACAATAGTCGTTTCTTTGTCTTCTTTCTTTCCTTGTCGTTGTCGCGTCCCATTGTATTGTTGCTCCTGCCTTAAGGTACTTTTCTTTTCATCTTTTGTCTATTGTATTTCTTGTCATCTTACTGATTCTGAAATACAACCTTAAGTTTGATACTTCACAATTTCTGCATCAAACAAAGTTAGATTTTTGGTGGTATCTTTGAAAGAGAAAACAGAGTCAGAACCAGGTTGCCAAATTAAGTCACAGTTGTTAAGTGATAAACAAGCCAGACTGAGCAAAGCGTGCGTAAGACCAGGAACATGAAGAGCTTTGACCACAAAAGTTTTGTTGTCAATACTCTTCATGCAAACAACCCCTCTTCCTAAGGCTGGAAGTGATTGCCCACTTGCAACGCTGACCCACCAACCAACGTTTTTGTATTCAGAAAAGAATTGTTTATCAGGAAACATGTGATCCAAGCAAAAGCTGTCCAGAAAAAACATGCAGCACATCTTTGAACACAGACATAGCTTGAGGATTGACTACACAGCCGTAAACCCCTGCAAAACTGTTGTTGTTTACAACAGCATTCACTGTCTTCTTCTTAGAAGATTGCCTTTGTTTCCAAGATTCAAGAGCATTCTCTGGATGAAGTTGAAAACAATTTGATTTTGTAGGATGTGTTTTTGTTATGTTGACCATTCTCACAATAGGGGGTATTAAATATAACCAAATCCACCATTATTTAATTGACTGGTTTGAAAAAATCCACCATTTTTTAAACATGTTGGTTATCCATTAAACTCCTTTTGGGGCCCATTTATTCAAAAAATTTTTTTTGGAAAAGTGACTGGTTTCTGATGGTGGATTTCTTATATTTGATACCCCCTAATATACAGTTACAGTCTTCATTGCTGATTCTGATTTTACGACAGGATTGACCGTATTTGAAGGGCTTCCAGTTGAACTAAGCTGTTTTGAATTCAAGTAAGTCCTTACTATGTCAATACTCAAAGGCCTTTTGTTTTTAATGATTTCTTTAGAATTCTCAAGTTTTTGAGGCAAAAGATTGACAATGTATTCAGCTAAAAGAGTTTCATCGATAGTTGTCTTCTCCATTTTAGCAATATTGATGCCAACAGAATGAAGATTTGAGATTCCGATGTCGATATTGGTGATGAACTGCTCAAGAGTAGAAGTGAAACCAATATTTAAGAAATCATGGTAGACGACTGCATGATTTTGAGATGAGTTGGACTGAAAATGATTAATCAAAGCACTCCAAATAAGATGTGGTTGCTTTCGATTATCTTCAGTGATGAATTTAGCCTAATTTCCAATGCCTAAGTTATGCCCGAGGATCCCATCCGCTGCTGCCTTCTTATCTTGAAGTGAGATCTTGGCTACAGCATCTTTTTTCCTCTTTGACTAAGTCGGAAAGGAGATGATTGTCAAGATTCCTTTCAAGGCAGTACAAAAACATGATGTTCTTCCAATTCTGGAAGTTGACTTTTGAAAGAAGTGGAAGATGATGAATCAACTTTTTGGCCATCATGTATAAAGCTGGTGTTTGATGAGGTTGCAGATTAGGCACTATCTGGGCTCATAACCTATTAGCAGGGTTCATGATAGGATTTTGTCAGGAAGAAAATCAAGCTACACAGTATTTGGGAGCACTCAAACCTTGGCTTAATTTTTAGACAAAATTAAGCTTAATATTTAACCGATTGAGGAAAGGTTTTGTGAAGTTTAAGCCTTAATCTGCACTCAGGAACCCTTAAAGCTTCCTGAGCATAATTCAGGAAAAATTTAAGCCAGGTTCAGGAAGCAAGCTTCCTGAGCATAATTCAGTAAAAATTTAAGCCGGGTTCAGGAAGCAAAAAGCTTATCGTGAACCCCGCTATTGAACCACAAGCTTTTGAATGAAGGTGATATTAGTTTATCTAGCAAGAAAACCCAGGGCCAAACAGAGGCCAGTTGCTTTGTTCAAAAAGATGACACAGGCACTTCCAAATACTATGGTTTGTGGTTCTTGCTATAATCCAATGTTTGAATATTTGATTTATGGTTGATAGCGCAGTGGTTGATGTTTCTTCTTTTCCCTCTTTTCTGCTGGATAGTTGCATTGGCCCCTAACGCTAGTACCGATGACAAGTATTCCTGTGACGGTGTGAAGATCCAAGGAACGACTGCGCAAGGTACCGCCTGTTGCAGTCCAGGCACTTCGCCCAAGGTTTGTCTTAAGCACTATTTCACTTAAGCCTCCATTGCATACTGACGCTCATTTCTTTACTCGTTGTGCAATATTTTAGAAGGCTGACCCAGAAAAAGACCCGCAAAGCAGCCCGCAGTCTCCGCTTTCTGGAATGACCGAAGAGAAATACAAGAGTGTCTGTGGAAAGGCAGATGATCCTGCTCCGAGTTCCACAACCGAAGCGGACCCTTGATGTCATCCCGAACGCTGTCCCACTGTTAAGGCTTCGATCTACTGAAAAATATTGCAAGTGGGAAGCTAGGTTTTTTTTTCACTTCATCAGTTCCGCATTTTCTTGAATGAGGACCGATGTCTCTCGATGGGAGAACAGTTGTTTTTTCTTGCATTTTTCTGCGCTGTGTAAAGACATTTCTGCTTTGGAATGATAAGTTTGGTGGACTGTAAGGAGTTGTTCATCTAGAGAGTTGCATCACAAATGCATCACCGTTGCTTCCTTTCACAATCAATATAAACCTTGAGAAAATGCCAGTAAGAGGTGAGGTGGCCAAATTCGTTGCAGTAAAGTATGCAGATGTGCCAGCTGGAGTGCTAAATGAGACTGGCAGAGCCTGGTTTTCATCTGGGTATTGTGGCAATGACGGTACGTTAGCGCTAATGCACCCAGTGACCATGCCGCTCTCTCCACTAAATCACTTGTCAAATACCAGTAAGCTGTGACTCCGCGACCACATGCCGCTTTCTTTCGTGGCATGTGAGCCTTGAGGTGCTCACTCCAGGAAGTGATTAGTTTACTCAGCTCACTTTTTCCTGGTGTCTATCTAGCTGCCATTTTTTAATTCTTACCATACATGTGAAACAAATCACTAGTGATAATGATGGACTTCTTCATGGTTTAGAAAATACGTCAAAGTGCAATATTTCTGAATTTGGGGATGGATTGGAAGCCAGATTGTAAAATGAACTTTCAGGTTGGACTGGTGTCTAAAGAATGAATGACAATCCTTCCGCCGATGGTAAAAAGAGAAAAAGAAAAACAACATCGTCTTCGCTTCCAGACCTCCGCCTTCATCTGAGCCACTTCACATAAAAACAAAGCTTGTGCTGCAAACAAATCTAGAGGATATTCGAGTCGTGGTGTTCTTAGAAGACACCTCATCAATGGGAACGCTTTCGACAAAAACAGCCAGCTCCACACATCATGGATCAGGTGCTATGCAGCTGGTAAGTAGAGCATTGGCGCTCGTGGGCTGTGAAGACATGATGAAGGCAGAACAACAATTAGTGCTATTCCCTTTGGACATCATGGCCTGGAATGAACTCTGCAGTACTTCCTTAGAGAAAACACACCTGTGGTTGATTCACGCCACCATAATTTTCAAAACAGCAGAGAGTTCCCGTCACTGGCTTGTTTTTGATTGATTGGTTTGCACACGAATAAACAGTTTCTAGATCGGCTCTGTGGACTAGCCAGCATATGAGTGAAAGCAGGAAGGTAAAATATTAACCATCTTGGTTCCAACACGTGCTTAAATCTTCGCATGCCATCTAGTAACGATGTGTTGTGGAAGACTCACCATAATATTCATTCTGACTTGCCTTGGCAATACAGATACCCGTTGGACGCGATGGGTCCGACGCACATGTAAACGGTTTGTTAGGATCAGTACCAGGGGTGCCTCGGCTTTGAGCGGAAATGGCCAGCAATAAAGCTGCCAACAAGCTGATTGCGAAATTCATCTGTCGAGTGGGGAAAGATGACGATGTCGAGATAAGTTTACCAAAGTACTGTCCTACTGCTAGGCTTATGATGTTGATGAGAGTGATTGACGGTAGAGTCTGTTGTTTGAGATGGACGGATGTTTTGAGAGCAAGAAGGACAGATGGAAGGTGCCTTTTATAGCCGTGACAAGCATCGTCCTCCAGTCCGTGAAGCTCTGCCACTTGCCAGCTGCAAAAGGGGCAATGGCCGGGAATTGGATCGGTCCGCATGATTTGCGGTTTTTGCAATGATTGACCCACCCTCTGATAGTTGGTTTCTGGGACAGCTGGCGCTGGAACACTGTCGTCGCGCAACGCAATCAGTCCCACCAATTGATAGCTGCCGTGCCATCCCTCCCAATCAGCATGTTCATCCAAACTTTTGAAAGACTCGCCACCTTCAAATCGGAGACGGGGCAAGTGTGAGATAGAGACCCTACAGGGCTACCCATTCGGGGCTCTCAGCCTCTCACGCAAGGGACATTGTTAGCTGAATCCAGCTAGCATCATTATCGAAATGCCTTCGTATCGCACCGGTGGGCAAATCTAGAAACAGAATGTCAGAGCCAATCGTATAATCATAAGGCAGATCCTCATGTGGCCCAATGAGTAGTAATGAAAAGTCCGATTTGCACTGGCGGCACAATCGGACGCACGATGTGATCTCATACAATGCTAATCATGCCTTTGGCGAAACACACTCAATGACGTATCTGCTGAGAAACGTCTCTTGCCACCAGCAAAAACAAGTTTTGCTACTTAGCCAAAGAATCAGCATGCCTGAACGATGTTATCAGCCAATCAAGTTGTCCTATAGTCTCCTAGAAAGTACTACTGGGGTCCATTTGGTCTGCCCGAGCGGTCAGTCCCAACTGAAAAATGCAGGCTGATGGGGGGGGGGGGGCTCATGAAAACCGTTTCTTGGTTTACTCTTCCCAGGTCTAATGGATCTGACAAGGGAAGGGAGATCAGATTCGGGGAGCTTTGAGACAGTTTCTCCCCAGACCTGGTTTAAACTCAGTTGTATATTGAAATCAAAAGTCCAGACCTCGGACTTCAGGACCCGGGTCTGATTTTTCAAAGTTCAGAAAACTCAATGAGAGAACTCTTCAGAACACCGCAAGAAGGATGATGATGACATATCATGACGTTAAGAAACATGAACTAAGGTGTAGGCATCCTTTGCGGTTGCTCATGGCCTGATCTGCTCGAGCTCCGATCCAAGATGAAAAAGCATGGGTTCAGCACCCCATTGTCCGATGATCTGAACACCCACCGGCCAGGGCTTAGCTGCTGTGGGCTTGGGACACTTGACCGGAACGACCATTGCTGGAAGGCCGGCCAAGCTAGCGGGTACGAGTAACTGGTCTTGGCTCCAGCTTTCGACATTCTGCTCCGAATCGTCCAGCCGAGGCGCGGTGCTCAAGGTGGCAGGCGTAAGTAAGAAATCCACTCCCGCCGGTGAGATCGACATCTCGCCCGTCGACAGCGCGCTCGGCATTCGGAAGGTGCGCTCGAATTCTGCTCGCACCTTAAGTCGTACCTTTTGAGCTTGAATAAAGTAATTCTTCATTCCACTGTTGTCGGCCAAAATGAGGATCTGTCAGTCGGCTGGTGCATATTCTGGTTGAACTGAATGACGGAGAAAGGCTGACCTCGCTGAGAGGGTGTATGCTCCCAGAAGCAATCTCCGTTTGACTTCGTCTCCAAAGAATTCTGTCCTTGTAGCGGAGTAGAGATGTTGAGGAACAGATGCAGCCTGTGAACGGGCAGGGCAATCCACGACACTTCGACGACCTTTAAACGAAGAGAAGATTTCTTAGCTGGGAAATCGGAAGAAGTATCTTTGAGTTGATCTGGGGCAGTCTAACCATAGTGTAACCCAGAATACCGAGCGAGATTGCTGCTGGCCTCGGCACTAGCAATCACATAGTATGCTCCCAGGCAGCTCGAAGTGGATGGCAAAGAGATCGAAACCAACTGGGCACCACGTTGCTTGAGAAAATCGACGGTCGCTCTGAAAGCACTCAGGATGTCCTCCGAAACATCTGAATTGAAGTATTCCTGTCTCCAAAAACATACCTCAATCTGAGTTCGAAATGCAGAAATAGCCATTCAGAAACAAACAATTGGTATGCCGACACGTATGTCAGAAAGATCTCCAGACTCGCGCGCGAAACGTGCTTGCCAAAGACGATTGAGCTCGTTAGAATTTAGACGATATTTCTTGGGAATTGAGGTCGGGTCACGCTGATCATGTCCGTTTAGGCAAGCTATAAAATGAGACCACCAACAAAAGGGTTAACCTAAGTTCCTGAATGGATTCAAACTCCATCATCACCAGAGGAGGAGACTGTAAACAAATGAAAACGCACAAAACGTCTTGCGAATCTGATCGGTAGACCGGGCTAGGATGCCAACTGTGTCCAGGCTGGTGGAGTACTGCACCATACCGAACCTAGAGATAAGACCGTAAGAGGGTTTGAGGCCGATCAGTCCGCAATGGCCGGCGGGCAGACGGATCGATCCCCCAGTATCGGATCCGATCGCACTGGTAGGAAGTTAGAAGGAAGGTTGAATTGAATCTCTGAACACAAGACTCCTCCAATGAGTCAAAACATACAACGACTCAACATGTCGCACAAGCCTGCGGTCACGGCAGCAGCTGATCCTCCCGAACTGCCACCCGCCGAGCGGGACTCGAGCATGGTTTGCCGGCTTGGACAGAATCCATGTGGATTAACGACCCGTCCATGGCTCGAGAACGTACTGGCAGAACTGTCAATAATAGTATCGCAATTTCAATATTCGTCAGTTTGTGAGCAGCAGGTTTACTTTTTTAATCAGACAGACCCCATAGAAAACTCGTCCATATTCGTCTTCCCCACGATCCTGGCGCCATGGCGCCGTAGCTGTGAGACCACGTGAGCATCGTAGGGGGGCTTGAATTCTGTTGGAAAAGCAAGATACCCGAGCCGAGTTTTTTAGCAGTCTGATCCAAGGCAGGATAAATGGTAGGCGTTACACTACTTTACCTCTTAATGCGGCGCTGGCACAGCTGGTCACTGATCCACGCGTACAGAAGATGTCCTTGATCGCGACGGTCAGCCCTGCAAGCTCGGGCTCCGGCTTCTCGACGAGGTCACTGGCAGATGGTGGTAGCCGAGTGATGAAAGCGTTGGATGCTTGTTCGATGCCCTCGGGAATCACGGCTGGCTTGGTTCCGAAGCAGTTCTTGAGACGAGGGGATGATCGAGAGATAAGGGCCTTCCGGACGAGAGTCTTCGTGCCCATGCCGAGTGAGTTCCTGACACCGTCGGACAACAATCCAGGCACCGGTCCTCATGTTGATGGAATCTGCCGGACCGACGGCTGAGGAGCGCTGGCCGGTCCGAGTAGCACTGTGACAGTTTTGAGCCGCATGTAACATGTTGACTGTGCGAGCAAGCGACGTCATGGCTACCCAGCCCCGCCGCGGACCGCCGCATGACGCCCCGTTCGCCCCGTTCATGTTTCTGCCATCCATTCGGTCGGCCAGTATCCGGCCCGGTCCCTGCTTACCCCATCCCCTCAAGTGCAATCTTGGACCCGAAAGATCATCCCTCATCATTACCAATACCTTGGAATTCGAAACATGTCCCGAATCTACGAACTGTCGGCCGATGATGTCGATGATTTCGACTTTCCTCTCGAGGCTAGCTCCTCGAATATGCCCGGAAGCTCAAGCGGACCCAGCGGGTCGTCAAACATGCCCGGAATGCCACCAAACATCCCAGGATTCTCCAATATGCTAGCCGGAATGATGGGTGCTGGAATGGGTCCGCAGCCACCGATAAAGAAAGAGGTCGATCGATCTAGAACTAAAAAGTAAAGATCTTCCGTCATTTTTACCTCGGATCAATCGATTCAGGAGTGGACTAACCTCTATTTTGACTTTCCAGCTGGGAAACTATTTACCCCCGCTATCTTGACTCAAAAGCTCCCTGCAAAACCGGTGGAAGACGTGTTGCGCTAAAGTACTCCCTACGCTGGCCGCTTGCGCAACTGATTCAACACGCTTGTACGCAGATCGGTCTCCCTTGCCAGTTAGAAGTTAGTATTCGTCATCTATGCGAATCACGAACAGCTGTAATCATTCTTTGTCAAGATAACTCATCTGTTCACTCGATTTCAGAACGATAAAGTCCACCCAGCAGACTGGGAAAATCCTGGACGGGTCAAGGTATTGATCAAAAGAAATAATAAGCCTATTGACCCCTCGATCCCAAACAGTCAGTCCAACATTTTATCATATTCACATTCTAAATACGGAAGAACTCAAGCTTGTTTTTTGTCTTATTTGAAACTTGATAGAATACGCTTTGCTATGTAAAATCGGACTACTCCTGAGACCTTTGGAAACCGTCCGACTGAATCTACCGCCACCCACCGCAAAAGATCGAAACTCAACTCCACTTCCTAATATCAACCTCCGCTTGCCATACAATTCACCAGCGGTATCACATGGATTTCTAGCAATGGCTGAAGCCGAGGCCCAAAAGCCCACCGAATCATCCGGCCCCGCTATCGAGGATGCACCGGGTAGTAAGAATAAGGGCACCAAAGGACCTGCCGATACTAAGAAGAATTCCAAGGCTACACCCAAGAAGAAGAAGGGAAAGAAATGAGGACCCACACAGTGATAGAACCAGGTTAGAAAGACGTCTCTTTGAACAAAACAGCCGGCTCTCATTTCATGCTAGAAAATTCGCTGTAGTATTACAAAGACTTTTTTTCCATCAAACCTTTTTGATAATCATATCTCATTTTTCTAATCTTGTTGAAAAAATGCAGAAATTTACAGTGAGTCCTGTTGGCAAAGGTAAGTGAACGACCAACACAAACCCTACAATTTTTTTGCAAACACAAGGACATGATTATGTCAAGGGAAGACTACAGAGTTTAGTTGGAGTCAAAAAAACAAGAATAATAACAAATCTGCTTGTAGTGGAAACCACACAAACACTCGTACCCTCACCCCTCACTATTAATTTCACACCATTCATTGCTAATTCTTTGTGGGAATGTGGGCAAAAGCCTATCCATATATTTGTTGATATCACCCAACTCATAATCTGACTTGGAAATATCTGATACATTAGATGAATTCCTGTCAAAATCTGGCAGTGTGCAAACTCTGTTGGGAGCTTAGATTGAGAGATTTCCCTGTGAAACTCTGGAATCTTTTGGTCAAGATCAACATCTGCATGGGGTGCAGATTTGATGGGAAGTGATTCATTATGTCAGGCTCAACACCATTTATTTATGATATTATTTTGTCTTTGCCAGTAAAACCTTCAAACTCTCACATTCAAGATGCAATAGGAAGTTATTTGTTCCTCCTGACCTGATGTTTTTTTTTTTTTGCAAGTGATAAGTGAAACAAGGAAACACGCAAAATGGACATGCAAGGACTTCCCACGGATTTATAAAACAGGCTCAAAAGATACACTTCTCACATTTCTATTCACAACGGTGATGGATCCCAGATTTCAAATCAACTTTTTTTGAGAGTTGAGACTGGCCTCTAAAATTTGCATGGAATTTTTTCCAGAAAATGAAAAAAAAAACTAAAACTAAAACCAAAAACAACATTGTCCTTGATTCCAGAGGGTTCTTCCCTCCATCTGATTGTGCTCCACACAACTCTAGCGTTGAATTAACTGATGATGATGTGAGAAGATGGCTGATATCCAGCGGGACAGCTTTCGTGACAAAATCAGCGAGCCATGTGGGCATCAGGTCCTGCACAGTTAGTGGATAGGCCATCGTTGTTTGTGCTCTGCAAAGACGTGAGCAATCGAGAAACAACAATGAACACAATTCCCTTTTGACACGATACTCTGGAATGGAGTATCTACTAATTATGTACTTGCTTGAGAGAATACACACCTTTTGTGAATTATTGGGTACAAAACCTACAGGACAGCAGCGGGTGCCTGTCACAGGCGCGGTTCCAATCTTCATGTTTGCACAGGAAAAGATCCCGCTGTTTGCCGGGACGTTTATAGCTAGTCAAGAGATATTGTGATTTGAAGAATGCTTGGACGGATTTGCAGGATCTGCACTCGAAAAACCTAGATTTTCACCATTTAAGTTTGTATTTTTGTTTTATATTTTCCCTCTCAAAGCCATGATGTCGTCATTGACTGCCACAGCGGCGGCCAGCCTCCGTTGCTATCCAATCCGGCCAGCTACCTTCAATCCATCCCCCAAAACCACCAAAAACGATCAATCAATCACATTGGAGGCTCAACCATCATCTCGATGACACCGTTTGGATACATTCTTCTTGAAAACGGCAGACCATCATCATTGTATCATAGTGCTAGCAAACTCAGGAGAAAATTTGAGTCAGTTTTTTTGGCCTTGAAACTGATTCTGACCGATGGTGTTTCTGATCAATTTTGCCTTATCCCCTCAACATGTAGGCACAAGTCGTTCAATCCTAATTTTTACCGAGTTGAATGGTTTCGATCTTGACTTGTATCCTATCATGCTTCATACCTGCTTCAATACCATTGATCTCAGCCCACTGCCTATCATCCTTGTTACCTCATATGTGTGGTGTTGTTGTGATCTCAAAGACTATAATAAATGAAGTCTAAAATTCAATACCAACTCGGTGAGATGTATACAAGCAACCTTGGAGTTGTCATCAATGATATGCGACCCAGGTCAAGAGACTGATCTCAAGCCAAGTAGAGCCAGAATCAGTTGGTTGAGGAACCCTCAATGCAGACTTGATAAGTTCTGAATCAGCGACTTTGGTTGGTGAGCCCTTGGAGTAAAGTTCCAAGCAAGTCCATCAAATCGGTGCTAATCTCATTCAGATTTCTAAGATTTTGAACAAGAGCCTCACTCCGATGAGTGACAACAAGTGAATCCAACGGTCGTCTTGGATGCGATTTAAATTCCTGTTCATTACAAGATTGTGTAGAGAAGAATTGATGGGCTAATTTCCCATTACGATTATCTGCGGTTCATACAAGGATAAGAGAAGTAACAACATTCAAATCATGAAAAAGCTGCAGATAAACAACAAATTTGGCTACAATGCCAACACCAATCAGTTGACCTAGGGTTATTTGATGTGTTTGTGATGGATCGATGAGCAGATAACACATAAAAAATCCAGAGAAGTGACTAAGTGCCCAAAAAGAAGATTTGGATGTCAGTGAGAACAAACCGTTGGTAGAAAAACAAAGAAGATGTTGAGATTCCTGTGACATGTCATTATCCATCTCATGTTCATGTTCGTTAGTGTGCTTTATTCAGATTTCACTTTCTCCATGTCACACTCTGTGACACTTAGTTGTTTTCTTTCAGCTCTTATACTGGAGTCATATGTGTTCGGGAGGATCTTCTTTTTCCTCATCCTTTCCAACTCATATGTCTCCAGGTATGTCTTCTCTTCTCATTTCTCATTTCTCTTTTCTCTTATGTTGAAATGAACTCATCATCCTTATACCGAGACTCATATGTCTCCAGTCTGAGGGTGTTCATTCCAACAGAAGAAAATGTCAAGAAAACTGTTGAGTTTGACAGGACACATTACTCACAGTGTCTATAAGACTTTTAGCAAAGATCGATCATCATAACATCTATGATTGTGTCCAATTGCCAATCCGGGGTTACATATCGGTCTGATATAAGACTTACAAGGCTTGTGAGTGCTGTTTAAATGCTGCAAAGCCGAGTTCAATCAGGCAAATCAGACCATGAGGAAAACATATTAGCTCTCTTTGTATGGCCAAACGACCGATGGGAAATTGAAATACCAACTTTTGGATGGCCAAAAACCGGAGTCCTTCAAGCGCCATTACATAGGATCGAGCGAGCCTTGGTGGATGCCGTGTAGGATTGAAAAATCATCTATTGATGTTCTGTATGGGATCGATGCCAGGATAATTGGTATTCGTGGTGGTGGTGGCCGGCTAGGATGCTGGTATCTGCTTGATCACAGCAAATTGAATCAAACCAGAGCTGTGTGGCAAAAACGAGCAGCAAAAACTGCTGCACAGCAGCATAACAACATAACTTTGGCGCTTGGAAAACCTCGGTTTGTCCAAGCTTTATTCAAACGACAATAAGAGAAAGAAAGAAGATGAGATGTTGCACCAAGAAGAATTGCACCAGAGTCCAGATCTTAATTTGACAATAAGAAACTCACCTAAATAAGTACCCGAACCAGTCTGGGCGATGCAAACACCCTGAGTATATGAGACGATAGCCGTACATTTGAAGGGGAGCGAAGGCATGTTGCCATCGTTTCCCTGAGTGGCTTGGACAGAAACGGCAAGCATTGAAGCTGCCAACACGCACATCGCGAAATTCATCGATGAAAGCGGTATGGAGACGAGTTGGCCAAGGTGTATTTTACTGGGCCTTTGCTAGATATTTGTTAATGGATATTGGTGGCAATCGGAGTTATGGATGGTGAGTGAGGTGAGGTGAGGTGGGGTGAGGTGAGGTGGGATGAGAGGATAACCAGAAAGCCCGACTTGGGTCGGCTTTTTATGGCCGTGACTGGCTTCCCTCTGGGATCTTGAACAAACAACAGCACCGGCCCGATACACAATGACGCACCGTGCTAATAGTGGATACACCAACGTCACTGTTCATGACTACGGAGACACTTGGAAATCAATTGATCCCCACTCCACCGACAGCAGTGTCCCAGCGCCGGTTGCCCCAGAGACCAACTGCCGTCGCAAAAATTTCGTTGAAGCTGCTTGACCAAAGGATTTCGTTTGAAAAGAACTTCATTAATTGTCTGCCACGGGCGGTGTTGTCCCTCAAGTGACGGCGGTGCAAGGCAGTGCCAGAACACAAGATCTTTCGAATCGGTTGTGCATGATGCAGATGGGCTGCTTAAATAATGGCACTATCACTGGCATTAAAACACAATCGATGACCCATTATATGCCGAGATCTTCTCCCCCCAGAGCCCAAGTTTTGCTGCTTCAGCCAAAGTTACTCAACATTCAAGTACACTGTCCCGAAGTCTCCGAGAAACCGAGGAGATGTATTGGTTGCGCCCGGCTCGGCCACATGTTGCTTACAGTGCTATCTATCAAGATTATAGGGGTCCAGATATGGAAGATTTGTTTGCTGGTATAGGAATCACTCAGCTCCAGATTGGAGCAATGTCCCCCCCCCCCCAAAAAAAAAAAAAAACTGTGGACCAATCATCCAGGATACATAGTTGGGCTGGTGTGGTCTGGATGATCGATGCGATTTTTCCCGGGAGTGTGTTTCTCCAAAGATTTGCGATCGATCTATTTAATATGTAAGTAATTCGAATCCCTCGACCAGATCTTGAGGGCAATGTCTGGCATATAGGAGATGTGGACCGGGACTGGGTCGAAAGGAAGACCCTTGACATCCGCACACATCCTGCACAAATCTGAGCAGAATACATGTGAGATTCTGTCATCAGTCATGGAAAGGCCCCGGCACACCCGCGACCAGCCGTAAAAGACAACTGACAGTGACGGATTCTGCAAAACATTCTGTGATCTTGGCCCGATCCATGTCCAGTGGGGGGAGGGCACAGGACCTCAAAAGAATCCATTCGTCTGAAGAAAGAAAGAAAAAAAAGAAGGGGGGGGGGGGGGATAAGTGTGATCTGTTCTGCGGGTTTGAATTCCAAGTAGTATACTTTGAGAGTCGGGCCCAAACAAGACAAGAGAAAAAGAAGAGGATTACAAGCACTTGGAAGGACCCCCCAATGGGATGAGAGCTGCTAAGAAGAAGAAGAAGAAGGTAACAAGACACACAAGAATAGACATATTGAGAACACATCAACACAACTCACATAATCGGAAGATAGAATATAAATAGATAGATAGATAGATAGATTGAGATCGAGACAACTAATCGACTTGAGTTCCAATTCATTGCTGATCTATGTCAGCTTTGTAGGGGAAAGGAGCAAGAAGGAAGAAGAAGAAGAAGAAGAAGAAGAGAGGTAAAGAGATCATGGGGAGGGGAGGGGGACGAGGGCATGTAGTCACGATGTAGGAATGGGTTGGTAAGATTTCAGTGGATGCGAAGATGGGTCATTTGTATCTATGAATGTAGTCTCCAGATAAACGATCGAGCAAAATATACGTGTTATGGACGATTGATAGGCAAGGATAATAAATAAGGCCTCAGTCCAGATCGAGCACCCAAAAACCACCGATCCAAAGCGCGCGGAAGATGAATGATGATGACGATGATAGATGAATAAATCAGATATCTGTATATATGCAAGCAAAGCAAATGCAAACAAGGGGTGAAGAATAATACAAGATGGTGAGTGTTCGTCAATACTCAATTACTACACATAAACAACCACACTGCTTTTCTGTATCAAGATAGTGATCTTCGTCAAGTTTTGTTCAGTTTTGGTTTTTTTGCGTCATGAATGGTGAAGAAGAAAAATGAGAAGGAAAGATGTGATATGGTGGTGATGATAGGGATGATACTGATGTTGATATATTGATATTCATGATGACGAGAACGATAAGGTGACGGAGATGGTGGGGATAGTGATGATGAGGATGGTGATATGGCGAGACGACGAGAACGATTGGGATCGGGCTGGTATGATGAGCAGGATGAGGGTGGTATCTTCAAAACTTGGGCGGATGATATAATGCGCTTGGGAGGGGAAGAAGTTGATCGAGTCCTCAAGTGGGCAAGAACTGCTGGCTTTGACAAAACATCCCGCGAGCTATTTTTTCAAGGCAATCATCGTCAAAGCAAACAAGTCAACTCAATCTGGCATAAATTTTCAACAAGAAAAGAAAGAAAATGGGGAGGAAAGAACAAAAATAAGGAAGGGAGGACTGACGAGTTTGGCGCCACACAACGATAGCAAGGATGATCCATGCAGCGAAGCTAATCCCGGAATAAACCGTCCAAATAAGGGCCCATTCTAAACATTTGAGAAAAGAGACGACAATCCGATGAGTTCCATATTCCCCCCTGCTGTTGAGACCCTCAGAACGAAAGAAAGACTTACGACCGGCAGTGATCATCGGAAATCGGGCTTCAAAGAGGAGGGGGCAGCTTGGATTCATCTTCCTAAAGACTAGAGAGAGAGATGAATGATCAGGAAGACAGAGGCCGTCAGCGCCGTGAAAGTAAGATCGTTCGAGAGAGAGAGGGACGGACCGAAGTCATCCATGACGTCGTAGATGATGTACCAGGAACTCATGACCCCAACGAAGAGGATAAAGTAACGGAGAACGCCGGCATGATCGATGAACCAAAAGCCGATCAAAAGACCTAGCAAAAAAAGGAAACATCCGTGGCGCGTCGGAACAAGAAGAATAAAGGTCGTCAATAACTGAGCAAGAGACTCGGTAAGGATCGTCCCGACCAGGACGCGTTCAAATAAGCGGAGACGGATGGAAAGAGACCGACCGATCGAAAGTAGGGTCATCAGCCTCGTCACCAGTCCAGTCGCCCACCAAAACGCGACGATCAATGACATCATCAAGAAGAAGCTTGCGATCCTGAGCCACGACGGACGAGAGATACCGACGACATCAGTGGATTATGAAAAAGGACAAGGAAATGGGGAGGGGTGTGTGCTCAACTTGGATGCCAACGTATTGAAGCCACAGAATACCAAAAGACCTCCGAACAGACACGAGGAGATGTATCCCAAGGGCAACGAGAGTGCGGGATAGACATTAGCCTCCATGCGAGTAGCCCCGCCCTCTACATTCCAAGAAAAAAAATGCCGCGGATTCATTAGCGAAAAGGTTTAGTGAGGGATGAGAAGATTGCTTCAAAAACAGAAAAAGAGAGCGGGGAAGAGTGAGTCTACCATTGGGATCGATGGTCACACTGTCCAGCTTACAGCCCGAACAGGACGACGCTACCACATGGCCGAACTCGTGCCACGCGACCACGACTAGCTTGAACGGGAACAACACGTGTCGGATGATGAATAAATTCCAACAGACCAGGATGATCACAAAATACAACGCGATGGCAACTGTCCACAACCAAACCCCGAAAAAGTAAGTGAATTTTTCCTTTTTGGACGAAGATGATGAAAAAGAGAGAGAGAGAGAGAGAGAGCGACTGAACAGAGGGTCGAAGTTTGGGTGGGACTAGTAGGCGTAAGATGGCCGGGGACGCGTTGGTTTTCTTCGCCGGGATAGCAGGCCCTGTCGGCGGGCAAGCCGTCGGTAGTTCCATGGCCACCGAACCAGGGCACGGCGGAAGCGGTGGGGACGGGACTGCTCATATAGACCGTCGAGGTGGTCGGGGTGGCGCCATTGATCGTGAGCAATGAGGTCGATCTGATCGTCGTCGGTTGAGGCGCACCAGTCAGGAATACCGTTTGTGTAGACGTCGGCTCTGTGTGTGGGTTTTTTGGGAGGGTTAAGGTACGCGTGAGTTCATGGAATGTTTTTTTTTTTTGATCGGGAGGAAGGCCCGTGCAGACTGACGCGGGGCCATTGCGTTCTGCTGGTTGATCGTCTGGGTGTATGCGCCAACGGTGACGGTGACGGTGGCCGGATTCGGATTAGGATCGGCCGGGTTGACGGTGACAGTGACGACGGGAGGCGCGCCTCTATAAATATGAAAAAAACGCGATTTTTTTTTGGTCATTTGGAACAATTTGAGAAAAAAAGGGGGGGGATCGAGGAGAGACGCACAGGTTGACGGTGACGGTGTTGACGAAGACGGTCATAGTGGTATAGCCTGACCAGCGTTTCTGGAGGACCAATTGGTTGTGATAGTCATCTTGAGAGAGTGGGGTGGGTCTGGTACTGGGCAATGGCTTGGGAGGATGGTGGTTGAAGTGGTTGAGTTGGGGCTGGATGGTTTTTGTGGGTAGGAGTGCTGTTGAGGTGGTGGTTGATAAGCCGAGATGGTTGTTGTTGTTGTTGTTGTGTTGGTGTGAGCTGGTGAGGAGTGGGATGGATAGGATGAGGATGGAAGTGAATAGGAGGTGAGTGATGGTTGTTCTCCGATTGCTGTTATTCGATCGTTGCTGCTGTTGCTGTTGCTGCTGTTGTTGGTTTGGTGGTGGCATGGGTACAAGTTTTTTGTCAAGGATTCCTAGGGATGTGGTTTCTTCTTCTTGATGAGTGGCTGAGGGGGGAATCTCATGAGCTGGATATTTATGTAGAAGCAAGCTCTGGTGTGCTGTGAATGGGAGAAGAAGGACAACCAACACTCAGCAAGAAGCCCTTTCTTCACACACTCACACACACCACACAACAAGCCCCGGATCACAAAAAAACATCAACTTGAAACTCTGATTAACCGCACACTCAGGCTCAGCCCCTTCTCCAAACAAAACCAAGCGGCAAGACATTCTTCTCGTCTTGAAAGCAGTCCGAGACTCCGAGTGGTTGTACAAAATCAAAACAACCAAGAAAAAAATCCAGCCAACTTCTCCCTCAGATTAATTCCAGCCATGACGGATTGAAAAACCCCGATGCAAAAGATCCTCAAACTTATGTACGAACAGACGCTTGTTCTTTATGACTAGATCTTCTGTCTATAGATTTTTTTGAAAAAGTCCACACCTTGTGCTACATAATTAGGCCCACTTGTTTATATGTACGCTGAGCTTTCATCACCATGAGTTAACATTATGCTTTGTTCTTAACATTCTGAAGGATTGTCATTCCATCTCACTTGAAGGCCAATAGCGGGGTTCACAATACAATTTCCTGAGGATTCTATTTTAGCCACCTCAGAATCCGCTTCCGCTGCTGCGCAGGCTAAATTTAAGTAATATTCATGAACAGAATTATAACTGATCAAGGAAGACATTGAACCTGCCCCCCCCCCAGTGGAAACAGTAGCAGGCACCTAAATCACAAAACTCACTCGCTCATCCATCACCTACCTATCAAATTATGCGGGGCCTCAGCGAACGTCAACAACTCATAAGGGAGGTATTTCTTGTTATGGCTTTTCATCACCAAGAGAGCACTGACAAGCTGCTTGATGATATCACCAACCTTCCAACAATCCCAACCTTTGGCGCGATACTCTTTCCTGACAACCCAAGCTACCAATTCATCTGGGAAAATTTCTTTGACGACGAGACAGAGGCGGCTGAAATACTTGAGGACTTACTTCAACATCGATACTTGAATTTCCGTACACCAGCAACTACCCATGAGGATTACGATCTTGGAAAACTTTTTGACATGCGTGACAACGATTTCAAGCAGGCTGTTAGGACAACTAAAACCGCATTTCTCTGGCTCTTGAATCAAATCCGTATCCATCCTATCTTTTACAATAACAGTACTCGACCTCAACTTCCTATCCCTCATCAGCTGGCCCTCACACTGGAACAACTTGGATCTAACGGAAACGGAGCTTCAGTTGGGCGCTTCTCTCGCAATCTTAGCGTTGGCCGTGGGACGGTAGTCAAAGTCAGCCGTCGTGTGATACAAGCAATCAACGAAATCTCATCAAAGTACATAGTTTGGCCAGATAAGGATCGACGTAAGGAGATATCTGACGTAATGGAAAAGGAAGGGTTCAAAGGTTGTATTGGTTTTGTTGACGGCACTACAATCCCCTTGCATCAGCAACCTGGGATTGATGGAGAAGTCTATTGGGATCGGAAAAAGCGATATTCGATCAATTGCCAGGTGATTTGTGATTGCGATAAATTTATCACTTCGTTCATGACTGGATGGCCTGGATCCTGTGGCGACAGCTTGGTATTCACAAACATGAAGGTTCATAAGGAGCCAGAGAATTATTTTGACAGCGGTGAGCTTGCCATATCGGAATTAGAAAAGAAGAATTTGATACTGATCGACTATTCCTCCTAGGTCAATATCTGATTGCAGATACAGCTTATGGACTTTCAATGACAACGATCCCTGCGTACAAAGCTCCGCTATCAAAAGTCCATCGAAACACAGAATTCAACTATTGTCTTGCCAAATCTCGTGTACGAAACGAGCATACCATCGGAATACTCAAAGGAAGGTGGGCATCTCTCCAACAACTTCGTCTTTCTCTTAACGAGCACAAGGACATGATGGAAATCTTGCGATGGATCAATGCATGTGTTGCTTTGCACAACATGCTCGCTCATCTTGGGGACTCGTGGGATGAAATGGATCTTGCTGGGGAAGATGGAGGTCTTGAGGCAGCAGCCATGGTTCAACAGCAAGCAAGCCATGTGGTACATCGCGATGAAATTCAAAGAAAGTGTCTTGAAATCAACCACCACATCGGAACTCTGCCTATCCCTTCTTAGATAATCTTTCAATATCGACCAAACTCATCTAGCTTCAACCAAAACGACCAATCTACTCAGCCGCCTCAAAACTCGCCCGCCCGTCCTCATCCTCGGCCTTCGATCTCCTTCCTCGAACCTTCCCCTCCTCCTGCCTCTCCGTTCTCTACCTCTCAACAGCAACACTCCCCTCCTTCGTCGCCTCAAAGCTCTTCTCCACCTACTGGATCAGCCGGTCCACTGGCTAATCATCCCTATGAACTCATCCATACAGTCAGTCCCCCTCTCCTACATCATTTTTTTTGTTTGCTCCTTTGTGTTTGGAGCTAAAAAAATAATACTCGAAAATTGATAAAAAAAACAGGTGATCGTCCGACTCTTCCAAAGCTTTATGGTGACCCTAATCGAAGAAGACTCTTCAACCAAAAAGAGTGAAGGAAAAGAGACCAAAGAAGAAGGGAGTCGAAGACCCAGCCAGACTAGACTCTCCTTGCTTTCCGCTCCGTTGATATCAAACACTCATCTTCTCGACGCCAATGATCATGATGAGGATGCTTGTGTCTTTGGCTTTGTTGGCCGCATTGGCTTGCTCTTCGTCCGCATTGGCTTGCTCTTCGTCCGCATCGGCTCGCTCTTCGTCCAGATCTGTGCGCTCTTGAGTCTCACCAATCTAGTCAGTGTTTCACCCTTCTTCACTTTTTGGCCATTATTTTTATTTCTTTCTGACTGATGATGGTAGATTTTTTTATACAGATTGAAGCGCAAACAGAGGCCATCCATATCCTGACGATTCTAGTCCAAGTGTCGCCGCTCTTTGTCTTGTTATTCCTATCGCACCCGGACTTTGATGCCCGCCGAACCCCGTCTTCCCATCCAATCTTCTCACCCCCCCATCGACCTCCTCCTCCTCAAGGAGAAGAAGAGGGAGATCTATTGGTGGTGATCCTGACGCTCTTTGAGAACCTCGATCGGATCCGAAACCGAGATTTTAAATGCCCGACGCCTCCTTCTTCATCGACGGTAAGATCTCTTATCGACGCTCAAAGCGACAATCAATTATCTGTCGGTTGAAAGTCGTACATAGAACAGGAAGACCAGGGATGTAGATTTGATTCGGATGATTGGATCCCTCTGGTGCTGTGGGCTGGGGTGATCGGGCGTACAGTCCATCCCCCTCCCCATTGTGGTGTGGGTTGGCCTTTGGCGTACAGTCGAGGTTGGCCCATACCTACCATTTGGGATCCAAGAAGCCACGACGGATATTGTCCAGCCATCCGTGGAAATCGAAGCCGATCCATTATAGTCATGCCACCCCGAGCTTCCCTCACCCCTCATCTAGTCTGCCCAACCCTCATCCGTCTAATTTCCTCCTCAGCTCAAGCAGTCAACCTCAGACTCTACTGTCATCCAGCCAAGACAAAATCGACGGCTTGCTCCAATCTTCATCCAAAGCAGGGTTTTTTTTTCCAGCATTATTATGTTAATTTTCCTTATGTCGTCGTCCAAGCCAAAGAGAATCTACTCAGATACGGAAATGCGCTTTTAGCTAATCTACCCGAAGAGACTACTGATCTGATGATTGATGTGTGTTCGGGGGTGAAGCTTGAGTCCAATGAAGAACCCTTGCCAGGATCCCCAGCGCCTTCGACCAATAGAGGCCGCCCCTTGTCATCTTGAGCGTATCTACCCTCTCGTCCAGGCTTGATGGCCATGCCAACCGTGATGAGTCCGACATCAGTCCAAGTCAAGAAACCGGAACCCAAGAGCTTGCCTTCGATCCAAGCGTTTTTCGCGTTCTTTATTGACCAACCACAAGGCTTTATACGGTTTCTAATGAGCGTGATGAATGCAACACGATGAATCATTCTTGAGTACCTCCTCAGAGTGTCAATCAACAATCAAAGCCTCATTCCTACCACTCCCCACCCCTGACTCTCAATCTAGCTTGAACCATCACCACCAACCTCCAAAGAATCACTCTAAGCGATCCGTCGCCCAAATCAACACAACTGTCCTAGCCGTCCTTGCATCTGGTACTAAGGGTACCGTCACCCGCCTCGAACCCAGTAAGAAACCGAACCCTGTCCAGGCTGGATTGGATTGGGATGAGGACATCGTTCTACCTGAAGGTGGCCTTCAGACAATCTTCAGACCTATCGGTCATTCGACTCAGGACATCAAAAAGCAGCCCAGCTTTGCTAGCGCGATCAGCGACGAGTTGGAAGATCTTAACCTGGGCAGCTCGCACTCAGCTCACTCTTATTCTCCATACCCACTACCATTCTTGGATTGATCCTCCTCTTGCTCGGACGCACCCTCCCCCGTTTTTACTCCTCAGTCGCTTTTGCCCTTGCCATCGCCTTCCCAACCTGGGCCTTGTCTCTCAACCTGGCCGGTGTCTCCGGTATCACCGGCCGATCATACAGCCAAGACACTCAGAATATCATCATCTGGGCTCTAGTCTCCGGGACTTTCTTCTTCGGACTCTCCTTGAGCTTATTGATCGGCCAGCATGGCTATCCGATTGCTCTATTCCTATTGTCCATCCAAGCCGGTCTAGCCATCACAATCTCAATCTCAATCTTGATCTTCTCAAACGGACTCACCATCCATCATACCCTCAGCCGATCAATCTTCCTTGCCATCGGGCCTTCCATCTCTGGCCTCATCACCATCATCTGTTGACCTTTGATCAGCTCATCCAGCTTGTGCTTCCTCTGGCGCGTTTTTACTTTTCCTCGGGATCGATCTCCTGGCCAAGGAGAACGCCACCACCTGCTGGATCCTCCTCTTCTCCTGCTACTCCTGCTCCAACCACCTCACCCACTTAGGGTGGATTGGACATAGTTTCCTCATCCTTCGTATATCTATATCGTCTGCACGGTATGTAGTGCTGATCATCTCAATCTTCAGATCGCTTCGCGCAATCAACTCCTCCTTCCATTTCCTTTCAATTTCATCACCTGACCTTTTTTCCCCTTTCTTTCTCTCTATGTCTACGCATAGTGGAATTTGCTCCGCTCTTCACTTCTAAAGTTGACAGATATATATGTGCAACACTTCACTTGTCTTTTGTCTTGGTCTTTGTCTTTTTTTTTTGCTTGTTTCCTTTTAGGCTTGTACATACATAGCTAGATATTCTGTGTCTTATACATATTCCGATCATTTTTTAATATAGTGTGAATCTGATTGATTATGAGCTGTGTAAATACTAAAATCCAAGTGAGAATGCTTTGAAACAACTTTTAGATACATGCAGAGATTTGCATTCAAGTTACAGTGTCACATTTGAGAGGAATAAAAAACCTAGAATGCACATCTCATGATGATCTCAATCTCAGCAGCGCTTCGTCCCTCACTCATCAGCTTTTCAGCCATACGTAACTTGGCATCGGCTTGTTTAGTTGAATTATTTTGTTCAGCTGAATGTTTTTTTTTCTCCCATTCAAACTTACGCTCTTCCATAGCCATATGCTTGTCGAGGTAGGAGAATTTTTTGTCGGCCGATGATTTGAATGCAGCTGCAACAGTTGACTTTCCCTTTTGGTTTCCGGTTGGTTCTCGTCTTGGTCCCGGAACCGATTGGTTGTCCGCATTCTGATTTGGAAAACGACCTTGAGAGGGACCAGGTTCGATTGGTGGATCTTCGACTTCGTCTGCAGCATCTTCAGCCTCATCAAGGGCAACCGACCTCTGGAGGTTGCCGAGAATTGATGCCATGGTGCGACGGGGCTGATTGGTCCCAGTTTGGATGGACAATTGATGCGGCAACAGCTGAGATTGGACAGAAAGACGGGTTTCTGCTTGCAAGGCTGGAGTAGACCTGGTATTTGGTTCTGCAATGCTCCGAGAATGTGGAGTCAGCACTTGATTAGTGCATCTGAAAGCTACCAACAACTCACCTTCAGGTAACTCAGCATTTCCTCCCATGGTGGTTTCTTCACCGGCAGCAGCAATGTGAGATTGATCTTCAGGTTGATCTTGGGCTGACAAAGTCTCTTGATTTTCATTTACCTCCCGATTGGAGCAAAACAACTCGGTGGATCGAAGTCGGTCGTCATCCATTGGTTGATCGTATAGCTCCATCCCGCCTTGAGACTCATATTGAGCTGCCGGTGTAACATTTGGCTTGCCTCCGAAAATCTGATCCATTCTCTCATAGCAGGGGCACATCGATTCTAACTTAGCTTTGATGGTGATCCCATTATCACAGATATCGATACCAGCTCCAGTCGTATCAGCCCAATGCTTAGCGTTGGTGAATCTCTTCTTGTAAGCCTCGATACGTTGTCGGAGGAGCTTCCCATCAAGGTGAAGTCGTTTGTTGGTCTGGTCGTTCATGTAGATAGCAAACACATCGTATGCTGCACCCTTAGTTAGAGATTGAGGGCCAACCGATGTTCTAGTACCGTTTCCATATATTTGGGTGTAGTGTTGGGGATCTTCAAGGTAACTACAAATAAGCTGATAGTCGGTCGCAATAAACTGAGGATTGGCGTCTGCAGTTCTGCTCGTACTAGTTGCTGGCTTTGCTGCTGAACGGTGTGCATTAGAATTTTTCTTGAGGGCAGCCAAGCGTCTAGCAGTTGGAACCCAATATTTGTACTCTTTCTCGTTGTTGGTTTTCTTTGAAGTCGATTTCTCGATTTCTTGGCTGGCCCTGTAGATCTCCATCTCGGCATTGGTACGGCGGTTTCGTTTTGGCTTTGGAGTAGTTGAGGAATCTGCGGCTTGATTCAAAGTGGCTGGGATGGTCAAGTCCGGCAAGTCCGGCCTGACCTCAGATATTTCCTGAGACATCGCAAGAAGGGATGGATCGACTGTTTCGTTTGTCTGTGAAGAGATTGAGTACATTCATCTAAGCTACCCCATACATACAGTCAACTTGTATCAACTTGATAGTTCAGACACACTCACCATTGTTGATGATTTGGGTACAGTCACCGGTTTCGAGCTGTTTGAAATGATGGCCCTCTGTCAAGTTCAATCTAATCACAGAGAGAACAAGGTAAATTCAGATAAGTTGTGAATTCAAACAGAAGTGAGATGAACTTACTTCCAACTTAGAAGGGAGAGCTGATGGCGATGCGGATGGTGTTACTTTTACGAGTGATCAAAATCACCAGACGATGACGTGTACCGAGGAAGTTGGGTGTTTGGCTTGGAGAGGGGGGTTTCCAGAGGGCCTGAGCAAGAGTTTTCTCGTTATCACAATTTTAATAATTTTATGAGTTGAAAAGCTGAGCTCAGGAACCGATTATGGTTCCTGAGATGTGAATTCTGAGCTTAATTTTAGCATAAATTAAGCTCAGGAAATCTTAATTTTATATTCAGTTTGACGCGGGTCAGGATTCAAAATCTGTGTTGTGAACCCCGCTAATGCTTCCGCTCATCTTTTAATCTTGGCCATGATTGGAGACATGCAAGATGTTCATGGCCTGGTACATATCTGTGATTGTGCTGTGACAGTCTCATGACCTCGATCGGTCACACCACCACCACCGCTCCCCCCAAATAACCAGTAGAAGACCAACAAAAACTAAACAAAAACAGACAGGATGGATCGAGGGACGGATCGATTGGACTCAGCTGACTTCGACTTGGAGGATGCGATCAACGAGCTATGTCCACATGGTATGCCATCGTACACTCCTCTCTGGCCATATAAACAGTGGGTGAATAAACACTCTGGAAGAAAACAAAATACAGAGACTCATACTGATCAGCATCACCATCCCAAATATCTACAAACAGAATCCTCTTCAGCAAGCCTCCCTCTGCTCCAGATCTTACTCCGCCAACGTCTACTCGAATGCACCCACCAAACAGCCATCTTGAGGGCCGAACTACAGGCTGCTTGCGACTCGGGAGATGGCCAATCAGGCTGCATCGAAAACATTCAGGAAGGCATCGGGGTATGTTTCTGAGAATCAAACATATCTTTACCAGTCTAAACCTAATAGCTCGTTATCCTCTTCTTACCTTCCTTCATCTAGGCATTATTAACAACACTATCCACCATCCGATCTTCATCAACCGAAGCTCAATCAGTCGTCGAATCGATCACCAAGGAGATCAGGACACTCGACCTGGCAAAGCTCAATATCGAAAGCGCAATAGCCGGCTTGAAGAGATTAGGAATGTTAGGTGCACTCTCATCTTCCCTCTCTCTTCATCTCTCTTGACCCGTCAAACGGCCAACCAATTACTTCGAAAAACAACAAAAAAAAAGAGACTCAAGTTTTGATCATACGGCACAGTGAATGCTTTCGATCAATTAACTCGACTCGCCAAGGGCCGCAAGTACCGCGAAACGGCCTCGGCCCTCCAAGCCGTCCAAAGCTTATCAGTCCATCTCGATCAACTCGCCAGCAGTGTGCCCCGCGTCGCAAGCCTGTTCAAAGCTCTCCAAGAGACTCAAGGCTTACTACGGAGGACCATCATGGAAGAGTTTTCAACTGCGTAGGCCATCTTGATAACTTCCTGGATTTCACAAAAATCAAAAAAACCCACTGGTGCTATCATCATCCTGAAGTCGTACATGTTCATCGCAGATTCGAGGACAAGAGCGTGGCTATCAACAGAGGACAACTAGCCGACTCATGTCTGGTAATTGATGCACTCGGGCCAGATGCACGGTTGGTAAAGAAAAAGAGCTTATTTCTCAAGAAACTGATCGGATTATGGATAGCTAAGGCGGCTGCTACTACTATCTATATGCTGTAATCCGTAGTGGCTCGTTGATCGACTGGTATACGACTTTCCAACTGCGTGAATACCGCCGGATCTTTTCAGGTGCGAGCTCAGAAGCCGGCCAACTCGATAACATCTCCCGAAGATACGCCTGGTTCCGACGGACGCTGAAGAGCCACGAGGAAGATCCGAATGGCGGGGCTCGGATCTTCCCCGAGTCGTGGATGGTCCAAGTCAGTCTCTGTGGTCAGTTTGGTGAAGCCACTAGGTTAGCAATCCATCGCCCTCGTCAACAATCCAAGTCTAGATTTACATTGAATTCTCTTTTTCTCTCGAAATTTCCTTTCACATACACACACCCATATTCAGGGAAGACCTTAAGGATGTCCTCGCTCGTTCTCGCTCGACTCTCAAAGTAGACGTCCTACTCCAAGCACTCCAAATCACCACCACTTTCGAGAGGGAAATGTCCCAAAGGTTTGAAATGCCGGTGAGTTATCCTGTTCTGTAGTATTTCCCTTATGAAATGAATAAATTATCTTTTTCTGATTATTTTCAAAACAAAATGTAGTACGAGGACATTGCCGCCAGATCTAAATCTGCTCACGTTGGGAACGCCACTCCAATCCGGACTGCTTTCGAAGCTTACCTCGGCATCTTTGTTGATGCTCAGGATAGGTAAGCATTGCCTCAATTCCACACTCAGAATGGAAAGTGACTAATGAGTGATTGCTTGTGTATGATCAGTGCATTGTCTGATATGTTTAACCAGTTCCGATCTTCAATCCCCAAGCTATCGGACTTCGTTGATGTCCGGCCCGATGATCGACCATCAGCAATCCTACCCTCATCGATGGAGCTGTTCCACTTTTACCGATCGACCCTGGATCGATGTGCAGCCCTGACGACCCGGAAACCGTTCCTTGATCTATGTGAGGTATACAAAAAGTGGCTGAAAGTTTACAGCGAAGAGATCCTCTCAGCGAGTCTCTCTGGAGCGATTACTGCCCATACTAGTCGTCCCTCTGGGCCCGCTGCCGTCCACGAATCGTCTAATTTTGATTCTGGTCTCAAAGTCGCAACATCCTCGTTCTTGCTTTGTGCCTGCGCCATTCTCAACACGGCTAATTATTGTGCAGAGACCGCCGACCAGCTACAGACCAAGCTGCAAGACACAATCAGCCAAGACTTCAAGTCTCAAGTCACGCTCGACAGTCAACAGGACCTATTCCGAGGGTCAGTCTCACCCTACACAATTGAGCTTCCGAGAGAACAGGATCTCTGACCTGTCTGGGATTTTTAATAGAAATATCTCGTCGGCCATCTCGGCTCTTCTGAAGGAGTATGAGGACGTCTCTGAGATGGCATTCACGGCTATGGTCAAATTACAGTGGAAGGAGATCGAGTTCGTGTCCGCCGAAAGTGCCTATGTTCACGACCTTATCAAAATCACTTCCTCTGTCACCGATCTCATCAAGATGCACGTCGAGCAAAAGAAATACGTCCGCAGTTTCTGCGATAAAGTAGTAGGGTAAATTTCCCACTCCGAAAGAAAGAGTTTGAGGGGGGAAGGTGGTTTTTTTTTGTTTTGTTTTGGCTGATAGAGAGATGGGGATGATTTTTGCAGGACATTAGTTAGTCGATTCACGCGCTCGATCGTCCGTTGTCGACCGATCACGCCGATCGGGGCCGAACAGATGATCCTCGACCTCCAAGTGTTGAAGAACCATCTGCTGCTCTTGCCTCGGCTGGAGCCCGACACCCCGGTTACCTCCTCATACACCCGCTACCTGACCAAGAGCATCGGCAAATTGGACACCCTCTTAAAGGTTATCATGTCCCCTGTTGAACCCCCGGACGAATTTGTGAAACATTACCTGCTCCTCGTCCCTTGTCAATCCTTCTCTGATTTCCAAAAAGTCTTGGACTTCAAGGTCCGCCCTTTCCCTTTTCCTTTTCCTTTTTTTTCGCACACTTTTTTTTTGATAGAATCTCTTTTTTTATTGAATTGATCACAGGGAGGAAAACCACAAGACCAGAACCGATTATTAGACGTCTTTCTAGCGGTGACCTCAGTCCAACCGGACCTAGCCGACAGCTCGTTCCTCTCGAGCATCGACATGAACCCGGATGGCTCGACGGGGCAGGGAGGGAGTGGGGGCGGAGGAGGGGTCTCGTTGCTCCAGTTCACCCGGACCTCCGAGGCGGCCCGTAAAGCCGCGGCGAATTCCTCACTCACTTCATCGACCTCTGATCCGTCCCTCCTCGACCATAATAACCTGGCCGCTTCTTCCGCTGTCGCTCCTGCTTCTAGCGCTTTCACTGATTTTAGAAGGTTCGGTCAGAAGTTGGGGATGGGATTGCGCTTCTCTCGTGAGACTAAGGCCGAATAATCTCTCTCCTTTCTCTTGTTTCCCCCTTATACTTCTCTCGTCACTATTGACTTGAGGCTCCATACACTCATGTATATCATTGTTCACATGATTAGGTTTGTTTGTTTGTTTTGGATCATTAGATTCTTTCTTGTTCTTGGTAATTATGATCATCACAATCAACACATGTATTCAATGACATGGATTACAAAGAGCTGCTAGCTTCTATGGCTATCTTGATTGGTCACAAATCCGGTAATCTGTAAAATTGAGGTGGTTATCTGCTTTTATCGGGTCAACTTGATCGATTTCCTACTCGTTGCTCTTTTGAATGGTGGTGGATCCCTGGACCCAATTTGCACTGTCTTCTTCTTGACACTCCGGTTATTGTTCTATGTACTTTTGGTACAGCAACCAAGACGATCAGGTATTATCTCTAGCGTCAGCCTGCTCGGGTATCGATTCTAGGGTTTTGTTTTCTTTCTGGGCACGCTCTATCTGTACTCCAAAAAAAATGTTCACCAGGAAAAAAAAGGGGGGGGGGTTCAGACGGGATGTATATGTAGTCAAGCAATTTTGATTTGATTTGGCGACAAAACAAACCTGTTCTTTGAGTGTCTCGACTGGATGAAGGTCTAGAGCACTGGGCGGAACACTGGATTGGGTTTCGGTCAAGGAGCCCTGTGGAGATAAGTGACGATGACCAGTGAATATCAAGTAGTAGAGAGTTAACAAGCAGGATCCAATGAGATCTGGGGGTTACAACAACAACACCAAAAACAAGGAGAGTAAACTGACGGGAAAGATGTAGGTCCAATCGCCCTTGATAGGACTAGCGATCTCATAGCCGATCGGCAGTTTGCACCGACTACAGAGATGTCGCCACTGTTTCTCGAACCCGTTCTCGCGCCGAACCAGGGTGGGTCGGGTGCTCAGCTCGGTGTTCAGCTTGTACGAGCGCTTCGGCTCCACGTTCCGGATCACATAGCTCGCGTCGAGCGGCCGGCGGGCCACTAAGGAGAGCGGCTTGTCGATCACTAACTGCTCATTTTTCAAATCATCTTCGTATCTTTCTCAGTTCCTCTTCCTTTTCTCCTCGTGATTATATCCACCATTTTTTCTTGTCGTGATTGAGACAAAATTTTATTCAAAAAAAAAAAAAAAGGAAAAGGAAAAGGAAAAAAAAAAACTGACAATGAACTCCCCACATAAACAGTAATTGCTGGATCAATAAATACAGTAACAAAACCAAGATGGTCAGTATTGGTGTTAAATCGATCATGGAATATTGTATGACTGAACTACCTACACGACCAATCGGCTAGTAGCGTGCAAGGCCTGTTTATCTTCACTCGTTGATATTGCAGACCTGGAAACGATCTTGGGCATTTTGCTGGCGGCTGGTTGAGGTTGAGGACTGAAATGATAAAACAAGGGCCGTCGGCGTTTTCTCGGATCTGAATTCTGGACTGGAGTCTGGGGACATAGATCGGGGCCCCGAATGAGCTGCCCGGCAGGGCAGACTGTATTCTTCGGTTGGGTACGTGAGGCCAGCTGAAAATTTTGTTAAGGATCTTGCCCATTCACATGAGTGGGCAGGAACCAAGCAAAGTTTGTGATACAAGTCCAGATGCCTACTACTAAGCCAAAGATCCCCTCTTATGTTACCTTTGCCCACCTCTGCATCAATCAATTATTGATAATTGTCAAATTGATGATGCTACATGAATATTTCATTAATTACTATTCCTCCCAGTCCCTGAAATTATTATTGTTACTGGGCAGTTTTTTTTTGTATGGGTCTCTTCTTACCCGCTTTGGGGGCTTGAAAAATATTTTTTAGGAGGAAAAATTTCCCGCCCTGAAGGACTTCCCAAAAACAGACTGTACAGCAACAACCCACCTCTGGTTGGGAAAACTGCATCCTGGGGTTTCCCCCAATGTCTGCCACACAGGATTCTTACCTGGTAAAAAAAATGTCATATTCCCGCTCCAGAGGAATGAGAATCTGGCATACCATTAGGCCTGGCCCTGCGGAGCTGTCACTGGGACTGGGCCACCAATATTTCCTCCGTTTCTGGAAGATTTTAGGACAACTTATTTAGGGCCTGTACATACCGTTGGCCGTGAAAATTCGATTTTTCAAAAGAATTATCTTGGTCAAAATCTCACATCATCACAAGTGACCATTTCCAGATAAGCTGGCAGTTAATTTTGGGCCTAAAAGGGATGTAGAAGGCAGAAAACATGCAAATGTTTCGAAATCACATCCTACGGTACAGGCCCTTCATGATTGGTGCTTAAAGGGGCATTCCTGATCCTTTCACGATCTGGTAAAGCCTGGGTTTTGTCAGTGGCCACTGGCAATAGACATTTCTCAGTGCATACTTCATTCACTGTGTTTTGCTAGAGCCATGATGTATGTATTATGTTAACTGATCATCAGGGGCTGTGCTTTGCGGGAGCCAGGTGAATACGGCGCCGCTTTCAATTCGCGGTGTCTCTACTAAACTTGGATGATTTGACGATTTAGGAGAGTGGCAGTGTGGCGCTGCTCATGAGGACTTGCAACCGAGATATGATGTGCTGCACTGTCCACACTGCAGATTATTCTTCCAGGGATAGCACCGTCATGAATGAGTTGAATGATTTCTTCTAATAATAACCTGGGTCAAACCAGTAACACAATGAAATTGTGGGAATGGCTATAGCTAGTCTCTCCGGTGCTGCCGTCGTTGTGGTGGATACTGTTTAATCTCCGAGCGCACCCGCAACATGAATAGTGACTTCGGTAGCAGGGTACAAAGTGTTATCGGGCCGTTCCTACTTTTTCAGATGGCTGCATGGTCTGGAAGGCAATGCTTTTCACGGCTACAAAAGGGCAACCCAAGTCAAGGTTTCAAGCAATTATCTTAACCCATCCCGCCCTTGATCTACGTATGCCATAGCCACAAATATCCATAAACATTACCACAGCCAAGTAAAATACGTTTGTCAACTTAAATATCTCACTAACGATATCATTCCCAACTTGGAAAATGAAACTTGCAATCAGTTTTTTGGTAGCTTTAATGCTGGTCATTTCAGTTCAGAGCGACGGTAATTCTGGAGACGACCCTACCCTATCCTTCAAATGTAGTCTCCCAGGGACAAAGCATGGTGTTTGCATTGCTACAGCAGATACATTTACCTATACGGGTGAGTCTTTCAGCTTCCCACACTATCACTAAGTAGTTGAATACTTGAGCTGTTTTGCATAGCCCAAAGGTTAACATTTCATCCTTCTCCTTCCTCTCTGCTGGCCAGTTGTAACAACTACCCGTACAGCCAATGGAATCTATTCCTGTAAGAACGTAAATGTTGGAAAGACTCCGGCCACAGGTGAACGCTGTTGCCCTCATAATTTTGTGGCCAAAAATCAGGTTAAGGTGTGTTTTGCCTGAAACGCATGCTTATCACTCAATTTCAGACTACTTTTTGTGAAAAAAGGCAAAGAAGTCTAACTTTTGTTCCCCCCCTTGTTCTTGTCTTTACAGACCACAGATAGTGATACACTAACTATGAAATGTACGGCACCTGATGCACATTAGCTGTGTCTGATATTGTTTTGACTAGTGTCTACATAAAGCCTTACATTATTGAATTAGATATAAATTAAAAAATTGGACTACAACAAAAATACATCATCATCTTGGTCCTGATTACTTATTTCTTTACGGAATATATGTTTCACCACCACATTGACCAATTTTTGGTCTGAACATGCCTGATTTACAAAAAGATTTCACACATTCTTGAACCGGGACAAACCCATGTATAGTTGACCGTGCACAAAAACTTGATCCTTCAACACCAACAACACTTGATTCATACTTTATCCCTGGCACTTGTTGATAGTCATATTTCAAAGATGAGAGGAATCAGTGTATGTAAGAGGAAGAGGCTAAGTGAATACTTATAGTTAGATTGTTTGCAGGAGAAGGACTAATGGGACATGCACAGATTCCTTGTCTGTTGAAGGTGAATTTAACATTGTTGCTGATTTGTGGTGACCCATCACGTCTCAAGAATTGAGGACATTTACTCTGCAAGTACAAAGCATGCACCCAAGCTTCTATGAGATGGGTTGAAGTAGACAGTTCAAAAGTGCCATAATAAGTCAACCAGGGTCCGCCTGTGGCAACGGCTAATGCCATAGGATTATCCACAATTGAATCTTTAGGTGAGTTGCAAGAGCTAATACCGGGCCTTGAGAAGGCAGATCTATCGGTGAAAGTGATGTGGATTGAACCATCAGGATTGATAATAAGGGGCAGCGGTGGGCCGCTACGCTTTGGTCCCGAAAAGTGTAGCGTAGCGGCGCTTTTTTTCATCAAAAAAGTGTTGTGTTAGCGTTTTTTTAGCGGTTTTTTTGCTACGCTATGCTGCGCTACAGCACTTTTAGCAGAAAAAGCGGCCAAAAACCGCTAAAAAGCGCTGTAGCGCAGCGTAGTGGGCCCTTTTTTGCGGCCCACACGCGTAGAGTTAGCGGTGTTGTGGCGGAATTCCGCTACGCTACGCTTAGCGCTAACAGCAATTCCACTGTGTTACACTACACTAACCGCTACGGTTAGTGTAGCAGCCCACCGTTGTAAGGGGTGTGTCTACACGCCGACTACCGCAGATGGAGTATAGGGTAGTCATGGAGGGCGTATAATATGAATCAACTGGCTGGATTAGTATGAGTAGGTGCTATGGTTGAAAGATAGAATAGGGGGAGAGGAATAGAGATTGTTTGTTCGGACCTGGGTACCTGTTCATTTTTTCAAGAAAATAGATACCATGTACCACACCAGACACCTCCCGGGGGGTACCCAAGGTACCCGTTGCAGGTACCTCAGGTACCCCCCCTCTCTTTTTCACCTAGTTTCACTCCCAGAGTCTCAAGTCACTTTATTATTATTATTATTTTTTCATATTTGTTGTAAAATATCACTCACAAGTCAGTTTTTTGGCATTTTTTAATATCTGTTGTAATATATCTACATCTAATTGGAAGAATCTTACTTTTCTATTTTTTTCATATTTATTGTAAAACATCAGTCCCAGATCACTTTTTTCATTTGTTCATATTTAATAATTTATTGAAAAGTTGAAACTATCTACAACTTATAACTAATTGGAAGAATCTTCATTGTCATCCAAAACCATCACCTTCCTTTTTGATTTTTTGTTAGACTTCTTGTTATCCTTGAGTCCTTGTTTCCATGCAGCCAAGGTAACTTCTTGGATCTTGGAGTTCTTGGAGTAGAAGGCCACCATCATTTTGATTTTTGGTAGGGAAGTGAGGGGGTACCTGTAGAGGTACCTAGGTACCTGTTCAATTTTTCACAAAAATAGGTACCAAGTACCGCACCTGGCACCTCCTGGAGGGTGCGGGGCGGGTGCGAGGGGTACCCCCCAGGAGGTACCAGGTACCTGCAAAAAGTACGGACGAACGATCTCTAGAGAGGAAGGTAATTAATGACTGGAAGAGACATCAAATTTACATTGATGGGAATATTTGATGTGGAAGAGAAAGTGTAGGGGAAAGTGGAAAACTTGGACATCTTCTGAGAATAGTTCAATCATCTACAAAAGAGGAAAACTTCTTTGTTAAGGAAAGGGTTGTGCATAGAGGAAAAAGGCAAATATTAAGGTGATTCTGGAGAGATACCAATGATCAAGAGGAAGCATCAAGGCTAGGTTTGTGCAAAAGGCTTGAAGTATGACTGTAGGATGCAAAAGGAAAATTGAAATGGGATTGCAACACGGAATAGGAAGGAAATTAGTTCAAGAAATGTGTTGGTGGTATGGGCAAGAAGATAAGTTGGAGAACAAAAGAGAGGATATTCAGTTGGGTAGAACAGCAAAGCAGGTTCAACTGGAGAATTTTCAGCTTGCTACTATGGCAGAGACAACCTGTCACAGCAAAATAAAATAAAAATTATATAAAAAATCTAAGTATATAAAAGACTAAAAATAGCTCAGTTTAGCATCATTTTTTACTCCTGAGTCATTTTGTAAAAAAAGCCTCAGGAAATTGAACTATTTTCCACTATCCAAATTGACATTTTTTCCTGGGGCGAAACTGGTATTGTTTGTAGTGTACTTATGTAAATACTATAAAAAATACATAAAATAAATAAATAGCTTAGGAAGTATAAAGAAAACCTTAATTATTATTACAGATTCAGAATCTACATACAATTTAACCTAGAGTACCTCAGTCAAAGGTACCCCCATTTCCAACTCCTTCACTCCTCAAAATACCCTTGAATAATTACCAGGTACCCTGTCATCACGGGTACTGGATTTTATTAAGGCAGTATGCATTATGTACTATGCATATACTCCAAATCCAGTCATGGATTTGGAGTGTGGTGTATAGTTTAGAAGATAGCACATAGTGGCGTGTATTGTCTCCAAGCCCGCGCGCCGTGTAGCCATGCTGTGCACAGTTGGCAAGCAAGCCTAACTACAATTGAGCCCAAGGCTCAAGCCCCCGCGCGTGCTATATATGCATACCCACCTTGGATACTTGCATAACCCCTTCTGGGTTACCAGTATCCAAGAAATGGGCCACAAGTGCTCCAGAATCCTCATTACACGTGACAACAAAGCCTCCACATGTGTAATAAAAATATAAATAAGCTAGAATATGCATGAAAATACTACATTAACCTAGAATATTCTATATTCCAAGTGGTAACACGTGTAGCAAGCCTCAGAAACCACCTCTTGGATATTCTGTGGCCCATTTCCAAGGAAATAGCTCCACGTAACAGACTAGCCCCTACCCACAGGCTCCTAAGGGATATTCGTGCTTCAAATAAATTCTTGCATGACCCCATGGAGCTTCTAGAATATTATCACCAAGGTTTCAGCCCTTGTTGCGTCACCATGTGGGCTAAAATGGGCCCAAAAGCGCTCCCAAGACCTACTAAGCTCCCCTGAGCAACCCCTGAGGCCTTCCACAGGTATTTAAAGGGCCTTCTGACCGCCCAAATAATGATCCCCCAGCTTTAGAATACCATATAGAAACATACTTCCCATTTACAAGTCCCCTACACTTGTAATTAGCCTAGTTACTACTATTATTGCTGTTATTAAAGCCTCAAAATTCCCCAATAAACTTAACATTTATCACCCAGTACCCAAAATCAACCTTTCTGAGCGCTCCCAACTGTCCAGTTTCAACTTTGAAGATCCTCAAGACCCCATAGGATTATTACTAGTAAGTAATAACCCTTTTCTTGAGATTTTCCCCTTAAATTCTTCCTGGGATTTAAACCACACCTGTTCACAGGCCCCAGTGTTCCAGGTACCTAAGTCCTCTGCTTTTGCACGATACCTTAGAGGGATTAAACCACCCCTGATTTATCAGGCCCCTCTGGTTTTATTTATATTAATTTTATTAATATAAATTGGCCATTTTTTCGTATTAAATTTAGGCCATAAATTCCTTATTTTATTGGAATTTATTCCTTTAGAATTAAAACCAAAAAGACTTAAGCTTCTTGCTTGCTTTTGCACCACGTGCAGCTAGAAGATTTTACATCTTGGCATCACGTAGGCTGACAAGAATTGATGTCTTTGGTGCCTTCACATGTTGTGAGACCTGTTTTTTTTGGCAAGTTGGTCAAGTTTGTTGGTTAAGGTTAAACCTTTCAATTTGGGGTAGATGTTTATGTGATTTTTCATCTGTTACCCAAATGTGTAAAATCAAGAATTTTCTTCCAAAATGAAAATGCCTAAAAATTTATTTCAAAGTCTAGGTTAAATCACCAAATGTTGAAGAAACAGAACCTTATATTTATGAGTGCTGCAGAAATGAAAGAGAAATCTAATACTATCATCTTGACATTGTTTTGCCATAATTCACATGAAAGAAGACCTGGAAAAAGTGTTAGTTTTTCAAGAACCTTGCAAAAAGAGACTCTTGACCAACAATTTCTTGCAAGGAGAAAACAATTCTTATCAACAGAATATGGTTATGAAATTTAAAGACATTTTGGGTCAAAAGTCCTTGCCCAGAATTACCTGTTCAAAAGTCTTAATATTGCTTCAAATGAAAAAATAACAATTGGAAAGAGTTATGTGATAGAGATCGTTTGTCCGTACTTTTTGCAGGTACCTGGTACCTCCTGGGGGGTACCCCTCGCACCCGCCCCGCACCTGCCAGGAGGTGCCAGGTGCGGTACTTGGTACCTATTTTTGTGAAAAATTGAACAGGTACCTAGGTACCTCTACAGGTACCCCCTCACTTCCCTACCAAAAATCAAAATGATGGTGGCCTTCTACTCCAAGAACTCCAAGATCAAAGAAGGTACCTTGGCTGCATGGAAACAGGGACTCGCGGATAACAAGAAGTCTAACAAAAAATCAAAAAGGAAGGTGATGGTTTTGGATGACAATGAAGATTCTTCCAATTAGTTATAATTTGTAGATAGTTTCAACTTTTCAATAAATTATTAAATATGAACAAATGAAAAAAGTGATCTGGGACTGATGTTTTACAATAAATATGAAAAAAAATAGAAAAGTAAGATTCTTCCAATTAGATGTAGAT